AACCCAGCATCGTGGAAGCCTCTTGGCTGTTCACGCTCCAGGAGTAAAAGTGAGACTTAAGTCTTACATCTTGGAGGCCCCAACGAGATCCCCAAGTGGGAACTGTAAATCTGGCCGAGATTCTCTGTCGCAGGATCCAGCAGGAGATTCTCAGACATAGACCTGAAAAGCCTCCGGAGGTAAGTTTTGAATCGGTTGCAACCAGGTGATGTCAGGATAGAGGTGGCTGACGAGCCGGGAAGCCTCACCTGACCCCGGCCCTGACGAGGATTCTGGGTAGAATCTAAGTTCTTTTTCTTTTGTGTGGCGACTGTGTGTCTTGTCTGTGTCCTGTCTGTTGAGTGTTAACTTTACATTCATTCCTAGGAACAAGAAGGGAGGATCGAGCTCCAAAAACACCCCGTTGGACTGTTTTCTCACTAACTTTAAATTGGCTTTTTGCCCTGAGCAGGAAGATGAATATAAAATGAAGTTTTCTCCAGGGAAACTTCGAACCCTCTGAAACTTGGACTGGCCCGCCTTCGGAGTGGGCTGGCCAGCTGAAGGTTCTTTCGAATCAAGACTTTGTCGGGCAGTATGGGCAAAGGTCGTTGAACACCCCGGCCACCCCGACCAATTCCCTTATATTAATATCTGGGCCCAGGCCTGTGAAGAACCTCCGGCGTGGCTGCAGCACTGCTCCCTGCGCACCAGCTCTCGTATTCTGATAATGGTACCAAATGGGGTAAAGTCCGCAAAGCGGCAGGCACCCAGGCCGGTGTTCTCCCAGGAGCCGGACCCCTTAGAGCCTACTGACCCCGGATTAAGACCTCCTCCATATGCAGAACCATCCCCTGGGGAGGCAGAAGTTAAATCCATCTACCCATCTCCCCCCAAAGAAGGGGAGATCCCGGATTCCACCACCTCTCCTTCCCGTACCCAAGGGGGCTCTGCTTATGGGCCCCCGGAGGCGCCCAGGAGAGACCGGACCCAGTCCCTGTGCTCCCACTGAGAGAAATAGAACAAGGTCATTATGTATACATTCCTTTCTCTACAAGTGATTTATATAACTGGAAGCACCAGAATCCCCTGTTCTCTGAGAAGCCGCAAGCCCTAATCTCCCTCCTCCAGTCTGTGTTTAATACCCATGACCCCACCTGGGATGATTGTCAGCAACTTTTACAGGCTCTGTTCACATCCAAGGAACAAGAAAGAATTAGAAGACACGCTATTCGGTCAGTGCTGGGGGGAGCTGAGGGGCTTGTTGACGACCAACAACAACAGGCCCGAGTTGAAGCACAACTCCCTATCTCCCGTCCCAAATGGGAATCGAATTCCACCGGAGGTAGGGAAGCTCTTTGCAACTACCATCAGCATCTCCTGGCCGGCCTTAGGGGAGCCGCTCGCAAGCCTACCAATTTGAGCAAGGTAAGCGAGGTCCTACAAGGGCCTGAGGAATCCCCCTCTGTCTTCCTGGAGCGTTTACTGGAGGCGTACCGCACGTGCACTCCAATTGACCCAGACGCTCCAGCCAACAGGCAGGCAATTAATCTGGCTTTTGTAACTCAGTCAGCCCCAGATATTCGGAAAAAATTACAGAGAATTGAGGGCTTTGAAGGAGAGAATAGGGAAAAATTGATAAGTGTAGCAATGAAGGTGTTCACAAACAGGGATCCACCCGAAGATAGAATAACTGAAGATGGCAAAGGCAAATATAATGATGATGGCAGAAGAGGGTTTTATACAGAAGGGGAGAAAAATGAAATGGGGAAATAAGAAGAATTTAAACTAATCGGAGAAGAAGAAAATTCTCCAGAACAAAAATGGGACTATTTACAAGAAAAGTTTCCTCAGGTATGGGCTGAAACAAACTTACTGGGGCTGGCAAAACACCAAGTCCCGATAATAGTCCAATTGTTGGCCTCTGCCACCCCTGTTCGGGTCCGACAATATCCTCTTCGCTTGGAGGCTAAGATAAAAATATCTAAACACATCCATCGGCTGTTAGATGCTGGGATATTGATCCCATGTCAGTCAGCTTGGAACACACCCTTGCTGCCTGTTAAGAAACCTGGCAAATCAGACTACAGGCCGGTACAGGACTTGTGGGAGGTAAACAGCCGGGTGGAGACCATCCACCCAATGGTACCGAACCCCTACACACTGCTGAGCCTCATTCCGCCTGCACATGTATGGTATTCAGTTCTTGATCTCAAAGATGCATTTTTCAGCCTGCCCCTGGCACCAGTAAGCCAGCCGCTCTTTGCATTTGAATGGACAGACCCGGACACTGGAACTACTGGACAATTGACACGGACTCGATTGCCACAAGGCTTTAAGAACTCCCCCGCACTGTTCGGGGAGGCTCTCAGAAGAGATCTACAAGAGGTAAGGAAAGCTTTTCCCTTTGCAACTGTTCTCCAGTATGTAGACGACCTCTTAGTGGTGACCACAACCGAGAAAAAATGTCTCACAGCCACCGAGGGACTCCTGGAGGCCTTACAAGGTCTGGGATATCGAGTGTCCTGGAAGAAAGCCCAGCTCTGCAAAACCAAGGTAACTTACTTGGGTTATGTTCTTGAAAAAGGAAAAGGAAAGTTAGCTGAATCCAGGGTGTCAGCGATCTTTCAGATCCCCACGCCCAGCTCAAAGAAGCAGGTGCATGAGTTCCTGGGGGCCATAGGATACTGCACAATCTGGATACCTCGCTTTGCTGAAATTGCCAAATCCCTGCATGAGGCTATGGTGGGGGGGACGCACCCCTTGAATGGACAGAGGCTTGCCAGCAAGCATTCCAGATGCTCAAGACTGCGAAATTAAAAACAAGGTTGAGATATTGGCTCTGCTGCAAGCCATCCGGCTGCCAGGGGAGGTTGCCATCATTCACTGCCGTGGACATCAAAGGAATTCCAGCCCTGAAGCGAATGGAAACAACACAGCTGACCAGGCAGCAAAGCAAGCTGCCCAAAAATCAGTGGGGAAACAAATGGTGTTGCTACCTACACCCGTGCTCCCAGAGAGGCCTGAATACACAGAGGAAGAAATAACGGAGATGAGTAAGAACCACTGGACCAGAGGAAAGCATGGATGGTGGATGACAGATGAAGGGAAGGTCGTTCTGCCAGCCCCGATGGCTGACACTTTGCTAAATGAGCTCCATGAATCCACCCACCTAGGAGAAAAGAGGATGATGGCCCTGCTACGGCCCCACTTTGTCAGCAGAGAATTAGCCCAGAAGGCCCCGGACCAAGTGAGACGGTGCCCTACCTGCCTCAAGGTAAACGCGAATCGGGTAACTGGGCCCCCAGGGGTCCGATATAGGGGACTGACTCCCGGAGAACACTGGGAACTGGACTTCACCGAAATGAAACTAGGCATGTATGGTTACAAATATCTGTTAGTTTTCATAGACACATTCTCAGGGTGGATAGAAGCATATCCTACTAAAAAGGAAACAGCTGAGGTAACAGTAAAAAGCTCCTGACTGAGATAGTTCCCCGATTTGGCTTGCCCTTAGCCCTGCGGTCTGACAATGGCCCAGCCTTCAAGGCTAAAGTGTCTAAACTGATTAGCTTAAGCATTGGAAGGCTAAAGTCTAAACTGATTAGCTTAAGCATTGGAATTAGATGGAATTTACATTGTGCTTACAGACCTCAAAGTTCAGGACAGGTAGAAAGAGCTAACAGAACACTAAAAGAGATTTTAACTAAATTGAGCCTAGAGACACT